TTTTTTTTTTGTTGTGACGAATTTACAAACCTATATGCCACTGGAAAAATATTTCTCTGAGTTTCTTGGAAATATCAGCGATCCAATTTCTATATCACAAATCTTCTTCTCTTGAAGATTTCTGATTGATCAAATCATACATCTTGGACGGGAAAAAAATCAAAAAAGCAAAACAACGCAAGCAGTATCTTCATTAAATTGATGAATCAATGAATTTTCAAATTGTCAATCGCAAATAGTATTTAATTTTTTTTCTTTTAAATGATGTTTCCAAATTCAAATCTGTTGAGCATGCATACGCATGGGTATGTATATATACTTACATATATATGAGTATTTTATACATACATTTACAAAGCAGGGTTTGATAGAAAGATATCTGAAGGAGATAATACAACAATCGCTTTTTCAGAATCATTATCTTAAGATTTTTTTCAAAAAGCAAAAAAAAATCAATTTTATTCAGAATATTGTATCGCGAATTTTGAGATCGCAAGGGAAATATCCGTATGAATTTTCACGAACCAGTTCAACCTATCCCAAATGAAAAAAATATTTCTTGTTATTTTCATTTTGGTGGACGAGCATCCTAATAATATCTATCCAACTGTGTATAACAGGAGTTGCGGTTCTTGAATTTATATAGATTCAAAATGATAAATTCAAAGATTGAAAAATTGATCGCAGAAAACAATCATTATTTCATAGTCGTTGAAGAAAACGATGAGATTTCAAAAAATATTTTATTGCCAATATGGAAGATCGGTAGGTTCGATGAAGTTTGTAATTAAATAGAATTTGGGAAAATATTTGTAGATCGTTACGAAATTATGATTTTCTGATTGTTTTATATTTCTGATAAAAAATCATTCTTCATATATAAAATGGGAATTAATTTTTGAATGAAATAAATTCTTTTCGTTTTTCAAGATTTCCCAAATGACTGGCAGACACCGCGATTTTCCTCCCTATCTTTTCTTGTTTATATTCGCAACCAGATAATAGAGAGGCAAAGCATGAAAAAATCCCGGACAAAACAAGCAGTGGGCAGGCTGCATTTTGAGAATCTCCTTGCTGAACAAAATATCTCATATAGAATATCATATAAATAATTATATGCGCTGCAAATCAACAAGATTCTTACACATATTCCGCACGAGAGCAAGATTTCCTTTAAATCATCAAGAAGTTCGGCTCGAGAACGTATTTCTTTTTTTTGACTCTATATTCAAAAGATATCTTCATAATATATATATATAATGGATATAGTCAATTCTAATGAAAATATAATATCATAAATATTTTTCTATATTCTTAAAACAGAAATTTCTCAAAGATTCAATTAAATTCTTATTATTAATATTACTTCTATATATAGCTGAATATAAATATGCATTTCAGATTTTATCAATTATGATATCATTAAAGCGGACCCGTTGGTTACAACGGCGGAGTATCGTCATTGGAGTATACTTATAATAACAAGCTAGTTGATATAGAAGATAACGATGGATAGAATTCCAAATCCTACTTCCTCCCAATTTGATATCCTGCATCCTGAGAATGCTTTTCATTTAGAAATTGAAAATTACGAGGCTCGCAGCAGCTGAGAGAACCGCGTACTTGGGAGCATTGGCATATCTATCAAGGTGCTCCCCAAGAAGCAGGGCTCATCTCGAGGCATTCCTAGAGGGGCGGCTTTATAGATTGAAGTCCAAGGAGTTTTCATGAAATCTCGTATAATAATTATTTATCTTATGAGAGAATATCATCAGGTCAATCTGCAATAGCCTAGTATGCCAAGAGATATTCTTGCCAGCCGCGGGCGCTTTCAACGTTGATCATTCGTCGGATCTATATTATGAAATCTCGGCAAATTTTTTTTTACTCGTGCGTGCCAAAATCTCCGGCCCGATCTTTCTCATTTCATTTATTTCTTTTCGGCTAGTTATTATGCGGCGGAGCGAATAAATATCCGTAGATTAACACGACCAATCGATAAATTCTGAAAGATATCAATTTTCCGTCCTAAGACGATATATTCCGCCGACTCATCGCATATGCAATCAAAGAAGAAATAAATCACGCGGAAAATCGCTCCAGAGAAGAACTATACGACCAAAAATCTCCCAGATTTTAGAGTCTCTACCTTTTTTGAAAGTCTCCGAGATTTCAGAGTTCCTAGAGAATACGCAACAGGTATTTTAGACCTGAGCCGCACAAGCCTAGGCCGCGCGCAATCGATATTGAAATATTTTCATAATATCCTAGATGAAAATTCTATTATTCCTCCAAATATATTTTTTCGAATTCATTATTTTATATTCGTAATATCAATATCATATTCCTTTATATTCAAAATTTGAAAATGAATTTTTAGAAAATAATCAAACCGATAATTTTTTTTTTCCTAAATATTTCAAATAAAATCAATCAATATTAATTAATTATTCAATTTTCATTTATATCTATCAGAATTTTTAATCATTCTATAAAAATTTATCTATAATCAATAAAATTTAAAATCATTGTCCGAAAACCGAAAAAAATGAAAATAATAGATCAATAATATTACCAAATTCCCAAAATCATATATATTTATATTCATAATCAGATCTATCATTTATTCATAGATTCATTATATATCGATAAATATTTACTCATATAAGCCAAACCATATTGATTTTCCGCATTCCGTTTTTTTTTTGAAGGGTCGAGGAGCCTATCAGAAATCAGAGGTCTCATTTTTCGGATTTAATTAGAATATCGAAACATCATGATGAAATATATGCTGCTTAGCAAATACAAATTTTCGCATCAAATATTTTCTAAAATTGCTGGGACTAATAATTATGAGGTTACGCAGATTATATTATATCTGGCATTTATAAATGAAATACCGCGTGCCTTTATGCGCCGTGCAAGCATCCCATGCCGCCCATATTCTGTTCTGCGCAAGGCACAGTGCTAGGAATAGGTAAATAGAAACAACTCTATGGTACTGGGATGCGTTTCCAATATGACGACCTTCCAGAAAATAATATTTACATGTGTTTTGGACGTTGTAAAACGATATCATCCCTGCGCAAGGAAAGCTGAAGGGGTCATCAATCGTGAAGCTAGCAGCAGCTTGCTGTAAACCCTGTTTTTGAAGCAAGCTCTTTTCGTGCCCGCTTAGGCATCAAGCTTATGAATATTTGCAGAAAGGGTGTCGTTTTTGATGGGCAAATGAAGACTTTCGGGTTCAAAGCAAGTTTATTTACAAGCTTCATATCATTCTATAGGACAGAAAATCCTGAAGCTGGCTGCTAAAATGCAAATAGCTGGGCCTTCGTTATGGAAGATAAAACAATCTATAAAGAATAGTGTTGCTTCATAAATTGTGAAGCACTAGTTTCCAAAACAAGGTCCCACTATATGGTACTATCCTAATGAAAACAATCCCGAACACGGGACGCCAAGTTTTCGGAAATCCTCACATGCTGAAGTATCCCCTCCCTGCGAACTTTTGTCGTGGCTCCTGAGTTCGAGCTCCCGATTCATCTACTTCACTAGGCTTCAAGGCGGTATCACAAGGCACTCTTGCAATGGACGCCCAAACGTCGTGAAATCTGTGCGTGGCCCCGAACGCAGACTGCCATCACTTAAAAAGAGTTGTGCAGTCTTGCCGGAGACCTGGTAGCATGGGTTTTAGATTTAGCCTTTGTTCAGTATATGCCAATTGCTTTAAGGATATGATCGACGTGAAGTTTAAATGTTGCGTGTTGGCTGCACCCCATATGTTCCACTTGAGCTATGATCTAGATTCCATATACCCTTATTTAGTATGCCGCACATTCAGAACCGAATATAATCTCTATACAACCCCGTGAAGGACTTTAGACTATTGCTCATTTTGATTCTGAGTGGCATGAGACACGGAGAAGTGCTTGGAGTCCACATCTCCAATACGAAACTGGCCGATCTGCACGAAGCGGTCTCCAAAGGTGACCCCAACAGGCTCCCCTAGGGGCTTCCACCAAAGGTTGAAGTCGGTCCTCTCTGCCCAGCCACAGGTTTAGAGTTTAGGATTTAGGGTGTAGGGCCTAATATTTACCACAGGAAGACAAAGTGCAAAATCGCTAAAACACCATGTGGATATATGTGGCGCATAGATGCTGCATTGCATGCTGTACATGTGAAGCATATACAAGTATTAAAAGGGGTTCGAGTCCTGAATATATGCGTCCATTTCAAACTTTTCTCCTGGGTCCGGGATGAAGGGTCCCAGCGCCATGCCAAATCTGAATGGTTTGACCTGCTGAATGGGAAAGCGAAAGGTGCTGATCGTTCACTTGGCCGAGACGCCACTGTCCTGTGATGGCTGGGGCTTTGAATGGCGAGGGAAAACCTTAAACCTTAAACTTTAACCCTAAACCCTAAATGCTGGCAAAGGCTCCAAACTGGATAAAGTGATCTCCAAGAGCCACCTGCTCATTTGGATGTCCACCATTAGTGTTCAAGCCGGCCTCCCAGCCCCAAACGTTGTAATCCTTAGTATGGGTCTAGGGTTTTTGGGTGCACGGGGTCGAAGTAATGGTCGTTTGCAACATTAATTCCGTGAGGACCCAACATGATGATGATAGAAAAGTCTCCTAACAGCCCAGGCCCCTAAACTCTAAACCTCATCCTAAATCCACCCTAAACCGTTCACAGCAGCCCAGAGTCCGTTCGTGGCCCATCAAAAGCATAGCCATCCGAGCGAGCAATCCTTACAACAAGGCTTCAGAATTCAGTCGCAGCCCACCCAGGGTTTAAGGTACAAGGTGGACACGGGAATTGCTGCACCCAAGATGCGTGCTGGATGTCAGTTTTTTCTACATCTGTGATCCAAACCCAGATCTCAACATGTTTCTCATGGTACGGAAAGCTTCGTGGGAAGGCACGGGATAGGGGTGAGTTCACTTCAGTTTTGGAAAAGCCGGGAAACACACACCAGGGTATCAGGCGCCTAGCCATTTGGCAAGCGGATTGTAACATGTTCCACATCAGGGAACGCATGCAGCCAATCCATGATGCACGCATTTTGAATTATGGCATGCCGTGCGGCATAGCACAAGCTCAGTTTTAGGAGGACCAACATCTACTTCTCAAACGCGGGCGACATCACTCAGTTTAGGGAGTGGGGTTTTAAGGCTTGGGGTTGATTCTGCAGGGCACAAAATACACATGAACCACCTTCCACACAAAGTACTTCGAATCTTCACAAGTGCTCATCTGATGCTGCCAAGAACAACCCTGACAAAGACTTTCTATGGTTTGCACCCGGCAGCTGTGCGGTCTGACCATCTCGATGTGAGAAACTGAAGTGCGTGTTGTCCACTGCAGCCAATCTCCAATCCCCAAGCTGGAGGAAACGCCCACCAACCGTGATGCCAGTGCAAGTCCCAAACTCCAGCCTTCCACATTCTCCCAAAGTAAGATGTCGTCTGAAAAGAAGCTCGTGAACAACAACAACAACAACAACAACAATAACAACAACAACAGCAACATCAATGAAATGTCCAACGTCACATTGCTTGTGTGCGCATTCTTTGCCAATAGCCAGGTTCGAAAAAGGTCATGGCTTGCTTGTATTTTTGTGCTTCAGGAAATCCGAAAACATGTCAAAGCAGATGTTCCGCTCCAGCATGGACTGTTCAATTTCCAGATCAATGCTTGTCCAACACTAATGTTCAATGCCAGCCTGGTGTGTTCAACTGTTCAAATCACTGCATGTCCAGAAGTAATGCAACATGTCCAAAACACCACAACATGACATGTCAAACTGGATGACATGTCTGCAGCAAACTGCACCGAACTGGTGTACATAGCGTTGTACTCACTGCTGTAGTTGAAATAAGAAAGCACTGGTCAAGCAACAGCGGAAACAATGCACAGTGGCACAGTGTAAATAAATAAGAGCTGTATCACTGGCTGGTGAAGCATCCCTCACCGCATCAGCATGTGCAGTGCAACGGCCCTCTTCGTTGAGTTGGCGACCAAAGCACATGTCCAGCCCCCGTGCACTTCTGTCGCATCATTGCCCACGTTTCAAAATGCTGTGCTCGAAAACATGTCTCATGCTCCATGTTTTCAACTGGAAAGCTGAATCCAACGAATTTGCAGAGGAAGAACACAAGTCCGCACAACTCCTAGATTTGAGTCGGAGGTGAACAAGAGCATCATCATCACCAACAACAACAACAACTGTCTAGAATGGGCAAATGGCTATCAGGTTCGGGAGAGCTCAAGAAAACTACTGAGGCCATACACCCGGAGCCTAATCGACAGGTATCTGAGCAGAGTTGCTGGATGTTCCCACAATGCCACTTCGGATAACGATTCCCGACTGGATGAGTCCAGTCGGTACGAGGCCCAGGATGAAGCGTACCATCGCCGCGGAAGATCTGAATCGTTTGTCCACCCTCGTGTGTGAGAGTCATATGCCAGCCATCAGCGTCGCCAAGCCGAAACCGTCCAATCTGCAGGAACCTGGGGGAAGGGGAAAAAGGAGTGGATACATACACCGAAACAAACAACCCTACTAAATCCCTTCACATCCCTCCCCACCTATCTCCAAAAGTGATTCCCGCAGCTGGGCCAGTGCTGCGCACCTTCCAAAGGTCATAGTCCGAGCGGGGCCCTGGCTGTCTTTTAGGGGCCCTATAAAAGGGCCTTATAAAACTCTCAAAACAAGGGTCCCCTGTAAAAAAAACCCTAAAAAAATTACAGGGATCCTTAAAAAAATACATATGGGTGATATTGAGAAATGCCGACAAGAGGATTATGACGAAGTTACATAAGAGAGCCCTATGAAAATATAGAAGGTTTAGGGGCACTATTGTAATGGGGTTAAGGTTTAGGGATTATGGTCCATAATAAAAAGAAAATATTCCTGGGAATGATCCAGCCTGGATGAAGAGTCCCATCACCTCTGAACACCTGCGATACGGATCCCCATTTGTGCGAAATAGACAAATGATTATCATCCACCATGCCCAATCGGAACAAGCCAATTTGGATGAAACTGGACCCGAAGGCAATGCCATAGGCAAACCCAATGGGTCTGTGCCAGGCATTGTAGCTTGTCCGTGGCCCCGGATGAAGTGTACCATCGCTCCTGTAGATCTGGGCAGTCTGGCCATCCTTGTGAGAGATGGAAAAGTGGGTGTCATCTATGGCCGCCAAACGCCAATCTCCTAGCTGGATGAACCGATCACCAAAGGTGCCAAACTTGCGATCGCAAGTGCCATGCGCCATCTCCTTGCGTATGTGTTTATGTTTTAGGGCTTCGTGTTTAGGGTTCGTGAAAACCTGCCATAGAAATTGCTTTTCTTCAGAATATATAATGTATTAATAAACAGGAAAATGGAAACCACTACTATAGAGTAAATGGCCAACAAACCAATTTCAGACACCACTAGAATGGCTTCTCAGCTATGTCAGGCACGTAAGGGTTTCCGAAAGTTGAGGGTGCAACTTCGGAAGTCCTTCTTTACTGGAAGTTATACTCTATAGGGGGTATGAGGGGGACCCTGATTTGTGGATACTACCACATCCTGCAAAAGGCGTCAATGCCAAATCCAAGCCCCCTATGAGTTTTCACCCGATCCAGCTACCACAGGGGTATTCACTGTTTCAGCTCCTGACCGCAAAGCTCAAAGACGTTTCCTACTTTCCTACGATTTCGCAATGTGCTCTAGTGTTGGGGGACTAATTACTTGTCTGAGATTCTTCCAAGCTTTGGCAAGTCCATGGCACTGGCAAACGGTCATTGATTCTGCGGGACCAGTCGGTACGAGGCCCCCAGTGATTTGTACCGTCGCCCCGGAAGACCTGTATGGTTTGGCCGCCGCTGTGTGTGACCAGTGAGTGCTGGCCATCACCCTCGCCAATCCGAAACTGTCCAATCTGGATGAACTTGTCTCCTAGGTGGCCCAAGAAATCCAACTTGATGAGGGCACCCTCTGTGGCTGAGAACCCAATGATTCCAAAAAACCCTGGAAAGCTCCCACTGCCCTAAATCGTAAACCCTGACCAAGTCTCCGAAAGTGATGCCAGAAGCGGCCCCAAGAGGGCGGTCATAGGTTGAGTGGTCAGTCCAGCCTGAGTAAGCCGTTCCATCCGATTTAAAGATCATGACCTGAGCTGCTGAACTCTCTAGCCCACAAAAGCAAAAAAGTCAATAAATTCTGGTTAAGGGTTTAGGGATTAATTCAGCGAGACATATTATGTACCCCAAAGAAGCCTTCATAGACCCTAGACCCCAAACCCTAAACTCTACAGTGTATAGCTACTAAGGAACTGTCATCCCATCTCGATGCGAAACAGTGAAGTACTCGTCATTCACTGCTCCAAGTCGAAACTTGCCAATCTGGATGAATTGGAACCCGAAATCGATTCCTTTGGCCTGGGTTTACTAGGGATTGGGAGAACAGGAAAAAGTTACAAGTTCTGCAATGAAAAGGGTAAGGCTAGTTCTACAGCGCCATTTTTTCCGAAGTGCCCGAAGCCGATGTTGGAAATTCGCCCCTCCTCCAAAATCCTGAACACTCACCTGTCCCCTAATTAAATATGGCTCCTATATGCTATACTTGGGCTAGTATACGGCATATTTGATGTTAGGGGTTGGGGGGTGTTTAATATTAGGGGGAGGGGGATTGCTAGTGCGTCCTAGTCACAGGACCGATACTTCTGCCCCAGGCATTGTAGCTTGTCCGAGGGCCTGGATGAAGTGTACCATCACTCCTGTAGATCTGGGCTGTCTGGCCATCCTAGCAGCGATTACGGGTTAAGGGCTAAAGGTCAGGGTTCTTTTCTTCTACCTTCTACCTGTTTTCTTCCCGGGGGGGTAGGGTTGAGGGCTTGATTTTGGGCTTAGGGTCTGGGCTTTGAGGACTCTTTTCCGTGTCCACGATGCCCCTCATTGCCCTACATCATGCGATGTTCCGTATGGGCTGCTTGAAGCTGGGAAACTGTTCCTACCTGCTCTGCAGTTTAGGGTTCAGGGTTTTGTACTTTGGCCGTCCTTGTGTGAGACGGAGAGGTGAGTGTCATCTATCGCCGCCCAACGCCAATCGCCCAGCTGGATGAACCGATCACCCATGGGAATGGAATGACATGTGGGTGAATAGGCGGATGGTTTGGTAGTTCGCATCACTTGTCCAGGAGGCACAGGTGTTACCTGATAGGTCTGCCCCTGTACAGCTTCTTTGTTAGCCATGATCACCATGCCATCACTACGACTGCTGCTGCTACTGCTATTACTGTTACAGCTGCTACTGATGCTACTACTAGTACTGGCACTGGTGCCCATGCTGGTGCCGGTGCAAGTACAAATAGAAGTGCAATGACGACAACGACGACCACAGCAACAGCAACAGCAGCAACAGCAACAACAACAAGAATAACCAGAAATGCTATCACCACAGTGCTGTCTAACTCCACCTCCTCCTCCTGCTGCTAGTGCTGTTTTCATCAATTGAGAACATCCCGTTCCGCTGAGTGATCTTTTGGAGCAAGAGCTGAAGTATCCAAGGCACCATTGGGCTGGTGGGCCTACCAGTGCTCTTGCAACCGAGATCTTGAGAGCAGTGAGCGTTCTCGAAGCCTGGACTCTTCACAGCCTGGGCATATTTCTCATCACCAGCGGACTTCAACTTTTGGAGGGGCATGTAATGTAGGGGTTGGGGTTTAGGGGTAAGGGGGATCTTCACAATGAGCAATCCCAGCTGCCGTGCTCTGACCGTTTGCCCCCTTGTTCTCGCAGAAAGCCCATCGACAAAACATTTTGTCGAAGCCCAAAGCATAATGTAGTATACATGTATCATATGATACATCTATTATACATTTTGGATTATCTGATGTCTGCTCTCGGCCTCGCCTCCAAGCAGAAAAGCTTCGTTGGCTCCAGCAGTGTCATTGAAGGTGTGGAGAAGTCGATGCTAAGATCCTGGGTTGCTGTCAAGGAACTTGATTCACAATAATGGGGGCCTTGCTACATCCTCATTCTGGTAGTTTAAACTGAACTCCTTAACAGCAACCCAGGATCTGGGATCAAGCTGGTCAACGCACTTGCTGCCGCTCTGGCCGCGGACATGATCTGCAAGCCCAACACGACTGCAAGCTGGGAATTGGATTGCATCTAGGGTTAAGGATTTGGGACGGCGGTTCCGAGAATAAAGGCCACAACGAAAATTGCAGATGCTTCTCCCCAGCCTAAACCTTAAACCCTAAACCCTAAACAGTAAACCCCAAACCATGTCAGGAATTCAGTTGGAACAAAGAACCCTGACATGATGCCCAGTAAGCTGCCAAATAAACAGAACCATAACTGAGATTCGGTTTAGGGTATCAGTAAGGTTTAAAGTTTAGGGTTTAAATTCGTTTCGCCAAGCGTGGCCAGAAGAGCTGAAACACGCAAACTGGGCTGCTGCAAGAGGCTTTCTTCCAAACCATGACTGTGAGGACTACAAAAGGGGCTAGGTAAGGGTTAGGTAAGGCCTATCAAAATAATCATCACAACTCCTTAAATGCAAACTAGATAAAAGTGTCACATGCGTGCCAGGTGGCTAAGTCCAGTGCTGATTCTGCCCCAGGGATGCACATGGCATCACCAGCTATGAACCGCACAAAGACCTCTGCTCCTTGAATTAACTGGTGGTAGTATTCCTCCTGCGCAGAAGCAACAGTGCTACACAAGCAGCTAAATCCCTTTGATAAGTGATCTAAGTGGGAACCTACATGTGTTCATCAGCTGGCCTGTGTCAGGATTTCCCTGCTCCTGACACCCTCTCTACTGACCGTATCTGTGTGTACCATGGGAGTACATGCATTCCCGGCAACCTCATACTTTTAATCTACTGTTATTACCATAACTACTACAATTTTCAAAGTTACTATGATTGCTATGGTTACTATTCTTGGAATGACGACAATTAGCCATCAACCCCAAGCCACAAAATGGCGCGGGAGCATCCCAGTTGGTCCTGAAGCCAGCGAAAGCTCAACGAAGCGGTGAACGCCACAGGAATCCCAAAACCCTGTATCTCGATATCCGTATAAATGTTCCTCCATGTTTTCTGGGATCAGAAAGCAAACTGGTCAGTTGTTATCTGCGTCCAAAGTTGCACTAAAAACAAACCCATCGTCTCCCCGAATAGTGAACCGCCCCCACCCCAGTGAATATTTATGATAAGGGGGTGCGGGGGCTTTATTGTTAGGGGGAGGGGGTAAAAAACGTTTTCCAGGAAGCTTCTAGGTACAAGGCAGCAGCACCGCAAAGAGGGATTTGATTTGCTCTGCTGCTGTTGACCTTGCCGATGCAGCAGGCAAGTCTGCATTCAAGGGCAAATCCACACAAACTTAGGGTTTGGGATTGAGGGTTGCGTAGGGTTTAGGCTTTGTTCAGCCGGTTTTAAGATATCTTCCGGCTATAAACGAGCTGAAGCATGAAGAAGGCATCAGTCAAGACAGCATCATTGCTGCTCAGGGCACCTGCGACAGTGCAGCAAGTTCATGCTGCGCAGCCTCCTGTAAGAGGGAACTGCTTGGCATGTTGAGGGTGCCCTGCGCCCTGAGCTCGGCATTCATCATGGGATTGATGCTCACAGGTACACCTGCCATGTCAGCGTCTTTCACATTCATGCTCAGCAAGCTTCTGGGACAATGCACATAGGAAGCATTGCTTGGCCTGGCATGGGGAAGATCACCTGGTCTTGCTATTGAGCTTGCGCTGACAGAAAACAACAAGCATGCTACACTCAAAAACAAACATAGAGGCTGAAAAAGGGTGCATTACAGACTGATCACTGTCTTCTTTGAAAGGGCCCCCTTCCAGTTTCCCTATTAGCCCGGGGGGATGTGCAGCAGCACTTATTGTTCTCATCCAGTCGCCAGGTTTGGGCCCATGCCGATGCGTGTGGACCCCGATGCGCTGGCGGCAAAGCCAAAACCATGTTTCTGCTCGATGCTGGGAAGATCGAAGTCCACGTCTGCTTTGCCAGCAGGATTTATCAAAACCTTGCTTGGCCATGGCAGGCTGAACAGAAAAGCTGTTCAAGCAAGCCAGCAGAGCCTATCCAAACGGATTTAGGTTCGGTTAGGCCCCCACCCAGTAAGTGACCACAAGGAATACTGGTAAAGCCTATTATATTCCTAGAGCACCACTATTTAGGGCTTTACCCTGAGATTTAAGGTTTAGGGTTTAACCTGCATCAATGACGTTTTCTATTCAATTTGAGTCGCCTTGCCGTGGATTCGGAAATCCGTGCTCGCGCTAACTTCAACACTCCCAGTCAACACGCCCTTTAGCTCGACCTGTGACAAACGCTTTGAGGTGCAGGGTTCGGTCCCAGGCAGAAAGTAGAGGAATAGTGGTCATATGGGCAAGAATTGTAGCAGAAAGTAACAATGGGAATTAACAATGTTAATAACAATAGTGCTAAGATCAATAATAGTGAGGTATCTGCTTTCTTGTCCAATGTGGGCTGAAAGCTAGACCCTAAGCGCAACACTCTTGGTGCTTGGCCTCTGCCACCATTTGTAGCATGATCGCGATGCAGAAGAATGGGCCACACACCACCTGGAGAAGCTCAAACGCGGCTGTGAGCCAATTGACTTGGAGGATTTTTGGGGACGTCAATAGGCTTTGACTTCCGTCCCAGAATACTTCACGAGGAGTTCCATTAACCTAGTTACTATATAGCTCCCTGACCTTCCACAGTTGCCTCTCTCGTGCTTGAGTAGAGATTTGAGAAGAATGGAAAAGAAATTAGAAGCCACTATTCTTTTCCGATAATATTTGAAAATCAAGTGCAAACCACTTTAGAGATTTTCCGACCATAAACCCTAAACTTCGGTTAGCATCACCATCCCATAGGATGTCTCAGGACCTGAGCCCCAAACAGTAAGACCTGAGCTGGGCACCCAGAACTTTGTTTCGTGAAGCCGAAGCGGTTTTGGGTTTCGGGAATCCTACCTAGAGTGACCTATGTACCTAAAATTATGGGCTTCGTACCTAATATTTGTGTCCCTCTACCCTTTTTCAGGAAGGAGTCCCGAGTCCCGAACCCTTTTGCTAAAGCACAGCAGCGGACCTTGGTTTTTGGGACCTTCGGAAATCGCTTCTCAGCGATGAAGGCGCAGCTTCCTTCCGCCTAGAAGAAGAAGGAGTAGAAGTAGTAGTAGTAGTA